TGACATTTTAAGTTTTCTTATAGCTTTTATGACATCTAAGGGTCTTAATGTTAAGTCATAATGAATAAATGACTTAATTTAGAATTCAAGAGGTTAATACCTTTATTAAGTCCATAATAACTTTGTGGTGAAGTTTGGTGGCCATTTGAGGTCTAGAAAACATTTTACAAAGCCTTTAACAAAAAATTTACAAAATATGTGTATAGCAGGGGTGACACGAGGAGTGTCAAAATAGGCATAATTGACACGGGGTCATGTCAAGTGTCCTGTTAAGAGTAATTCTTTCATGGAAAACATAGTAAATGACCTCCAATTTCCCTCAAACTTTATATATAAGCTATTAGGGAGTAAATAATCTTATGGAGAAGGTCTAAATGATAAAAACCTTAAAAGGGTATTATGGTCTTTTGACAACCTTATGATGTTGATATTAGGTGATTAAATTGGGTAGAGCTCAAGTGGTTAAACTTAAGTGAAGAATATCTTTGGTGCTTCAAGTTTAGGACTTAAGGTGAGTACACTTACATTGGAACACTTGTCCCCACAATATGAGTATCTTATATGTGTTTCCCTTTTTTGTGAAATATGTATAAAATATGTTATTTGCTTGATATTATGGTTTATTATTCGGGGGCGTCCTTTTGAGCTAAAGACATGCTTTTGAAAATGGATTTCCATTGTAGGGGTTAAACTCACTCTTTCGTATAATGGGTACAACTGCCCTTATGGTTTTCATTGTAAATTACCGGGAGTACACATCCCTTATTATTGATTTTGTATTTTGAAACTATATAGCATATACTTGATTGCTAGCTGCCCGTATGTAGATTATTTGTGCATTCATGAAATTATATTTTTAAAAATGCTTTTGGTTGATATAAAGCTAAAAATACTTATTTTGAGAAAATAGATTTTGGCATCTGACTTGTTCCATACATGCATATCATGTTAGGATGGGTGTGACTTTGTGGTCCCGGGTACCCAATGGACAGCTATTTTGTTGCTTGTTATTTGTTTGTGAGTAGATTTCTAGATAATCCTCACGTTCACGAGTAGAGGCTCGCTACCCCTCGTATGGCCTAGGTTGGATCCCCCCAATGCCTTGTTTGTGGGTGTAAGGGCGACTTGACAATTTCATTTGTCGTGCGTTCTTCACACCCGGCCATCATTATTTTGTTGTCGAATGTGAGTACAAAAGTTGGCTATCTATCATGAGTAATCTGCATCCGATATTTATTGTGAGCTGGACTTTGAGATTAACAAGGGGTTGGAAATAGTTGCATGCATTGCATCTTACATATTGTGATTGATCTTGTTTTAACCATTTGAATATTGTGGGACTTATTTGTCTCTTTTTGGAAACTAAATTGTTTGAAGTATATCTCTTGGGAAATTAAGACCCTTATTTTGGTTTTGAGCTAATATACTCAAATTGTGTATATACTTTGATAATTTGAAAAGCTGGAACTTTTGTAAACCGGATTTTTACCTCTGTTATAGCTCACATGAGTAGTTATTGGTTTATCCGATTTCTTTTGGATCTTGATTATTGTAAGGTGCTACCCAGGGTACACCCACTTGGTATGGTTTATTTGACAGTGAAGTTTGTATGGAAATTGTCATAAATGACAATATACTTTGTTAAAAGTTAAACTTTGTCCCAAATTGAATATTGATGTTTTGCTGTTTTGAGAAGGTATGGGTTTGTACATTTGTGTATGAGTTGGGTGTTCACTCTTACCCAATCAGTATAATGCTAGCCCCGATATTGTAATCATTAGGCTCCACATAGCCTAACCCACTTGTTGATAAATTTTTATAGGTTAGTAGATATTTTCAGAAGCTTAGGAGACTCATAAGCTTTTGATATTTAGAAGACCTTTGGTTTGTAATGTTTTCTTAAACCTTGTTTTGATATCTGTTGTGACACTCTCGCAAGAATTATTTTTATTAAACCACTAAATGTTTTGTTGGAAATTTTAAATTGGGACCGTTATCCGCGTTTGAACTCAGTAAAATATTTTAAATTAAACTTTGGGATCGTTTTTCCACAAACTAAAACTCTGATATTATTTTGAAAGATTTTATTAAATATTATTTCAAATAGGCTCATGGGAGGTCTGTTATACTTACAAAGGGCATTACTGTATAGTATTGTCTCTATTTAACATATATATGGTATTATCCTATTATAATCTTATTATATATTTTCTTTGTCTGAATTATGATCTTGTATTATGGTAATATTATTATATTATCTCTATCTAATGTTATCTAACTATAATCTTACTATATTCTTTATATAATCTTACTATATTTTGTTTACTAGATTAAGGATATTATTTTACTAATAATCATAATGTTTTAATTTTTGTCTAGCACAGGGTCTTGTTTTACTATTAATTTTATTGTATTCTTTTTGTTTGGCATATAATATTATTTTACTGTAATCTTATTCTACCATCTCTATCTAATATGGGGTATTATCTTATTATAATATTAATTTATTATCTCTTTTGACAGAGAGTATTAGTGTATTATCTTTTTCTAAGTCTCTGACAGTGAGTATTATTTTGATGTAATTATATTGAACTCTTTATGTTTTGACCAAAAGTATTTTCTTATTGTTATCTTATTATATTCTTTTTGTTAAATAGATTATATTATCTTATTGTAATATATTTATAGGAAAAGCGTATTTTTATAAATGTAACCATACTTTATTATATATGTCCTTTTATGTTAAAAAAATCATGACTTTATTATTAATAAAACTAAAAATATAAGGACTAACTTGAAGATTATCTGCTAAAATCGAATATTAGTGTCTAAAATCCCAAATGCGTAAACGATTGTTGAGTTTTTTTTTTGTAAATAATTGTTGGTTATTGGAGTTTTTCATATTAAACCTCAACTATTTTTTTAAAAGCCATTACATTTTTTTATTTGGCTCTTTTAATTAGCATGCATACCCGTAATCTTCAAGTTTTACATAATTTTTTCGAAAAAAACCTAAAAAAAAAAAAATCGTTCCCTCACATTTACAGGATGCTTGGAGATTATAGCATGTGAAAAACAACGTCGAAGCTGCATTGATATCTTAGAGCGTTTAGAGTTCGAAAGTTAGCTGTTTGATGCTTAATTAAAACAAACTTATACGCCAAGCCAACTTAGACAAATGATCTTCTCTATAATTTCCGAGCATCTTATAAATAAATTTTGAGATATATTTTGCTAACAAGAATCAAACAAATTATTATGCAATTTACCAACAAGAATTCTGTGACTAAAAGCAACCTTAGGTGCTGTTTGGTTCGCAGAATGTTGCTGAAGGAATTGGAATTGGAATTGGAAAATGAATCTGTCAGGAATTTGAATCCAATTCCATATGTTGTTTGGTTGGCAGGAAATGGAATTGGAATTAATTCCAGATTCTGTTTGGTTCGCAGGAAATGGAATTGAAATACATGTAAAATAACATAATTACCGTTTTTGCAGGTTTTTCTTAATTTTACCTTGTTTTCTAAATTATAGGGTAAGATACATTATGAAAACTATAAAAACGATAAAAGTTTGGCGGTGGTGGCAGTAGTGGTGAGGGCAGTGGCGGTGGTAGCGGCGACAGTGGTGGGTGGCGACGACGGTGGTGGTGATGGTGGTGGTGGCATTGATTGTGGTGACGAAAGTGGTGGTGATGGTGGCAGTGGCAGCTGGTGGCGACAGCGACGGCGGTGATGGTGCTAGTGCTGATGGTGGTAGTGGCGGTGGGTGGTGGCGGCAGAGGTAGTGGCGGCCGGTGGTGGCGGCGATGGTGGTAACGACGATGATGGTAGTGGTGGTAGCGTCGAAGGTAGTGGTTGTGGGTGGTGGCGGCGACGGTGATGGTGGGTGGTGGTGGCGGCGATGGTGGTGATCATGGTGGTGGTACTGGTGGTCGGTGGCGGCGGCGATGGCGGCGGTGGTGGTGGTGGGTGGTGGTGGCGTCGGAGGTAGTGGCGTTGGGTGTGGTCCTGGCGGTGGGTGGTGGCAGCGGGTGGTCATGGCGGTGATGGTGGCGTCGGAGGTAGTGGCGGGGTGGTGGTTGGCGGTGGTAGTGGTGGTGGCGTCGGAGTAGTGGCGGTGGATGGTGGCAGCGACGTGATGGGGTGGGTGGTTGGCGGTGACGGTGGTTGGTCATGGCGGTGGTAGTGGTGGCGGCGGCGGCGGCGTGGTATGGTGTGCGGCAGCGGTAGTGGTGGTGGTTGCGGTGGCGTGGTGGTGGTGGCGGCGGCGGTAGCGGCGGTGGTGGTGGTGAGTGATGGTGGTGGTGGTGGTAGTAGTGGTGGGTTTTTTGATAAGTACAAAGGGTATTTTTGTAATCTGTCACTTTCCTTGATGATAAGGAATGTTTTCCATCCAACTTTGGAAGGAATTCACTTTCCACCATATGGTGGAAAGTTTATTTCATTTAGGAATCTTTTTCCCTCCTCTAAGTCCAACCAAACGCATGAATTCGAGGGAATTGGAATCTTTTTCCCTCGAATTCCATTCATTTCCTGCCAACCAAACGCACCCTTAGGATTTTACATAAAGATTTTCCTAATTGACTTTCATATAGAAAAATGATCATAGTATCGAATCAAAGATTATTAGTTTTACAATGAAGGTAACCTACTTCGGATGCTTCGAAGCTCCCATAGACAAAGTAAATTGTATATGTGTTCGGCTACTAATTATTGGTTTCACCGAGATATATATGCTTAGTATAACGAGCACCTCTACACTAACGGCCACCGGGGATTCCAAGAAAACCGCAATACTTGCTTTCAAGTGAATTCGTCTGGCTTCTTCAACGTTGCGAAAACAAATTAGAGAAAGAAAACATTCTCATTTGATTAGATCGATCCATACCCATTATTCATTGAACACGGTAGAAATTTAATACACGAGTAGCACAAATACGAACGAAATTCACCAAATAAAATTCAAATAGAAAGATATGGTTCTAATATTACTTTGATTTACGAACTCATTCCTTCGAAAACCGCCTGTATTATTTCCTGTGCGACACTACCGACTAAACCTTCAACTGCATGCCCAGCCATGTTATTGACTAAACCAGTCTGCCTTGAAGGCTGCACGTACTGAGGAACACCCATTGTTGGTGTAGCTTGGTAGTGGCTCATTTGTGGTTGAGGATGTTGATATTGTTGCGTCTGGGAGTAATATGGTTGACTATGTGCATGTGGCTGTGGCGGCGGAGTTGGGTGTTGTGGTGGTGATGAGAAGTACTGGTGAGTTTCATAAGAAGGAAGACTTGTAGACTTCAGTAGTACTTGAGGATACTGTGCCGGCGACGGAGATGAGTAAAATATTTGGATGGGTGGTGGTGCCGGAGTTGGGGATGGTGGTGGACGTGGTGTTGAGGAATGGTGAGGAAGACTTGTGGACTTTGGTAGTACTGATCGAGAAGTGGTTGTTCTAGCTTTGGCACACTTCATATGAGCATCAAACTCACATAAACCACATCGGTAGAGCCACTGGTTCGAGCCAGGTTCCTTACAGATATCACAACTGAACGCTTGGTTTTCGTAAGGTGGTTTAAAACAAAGGCTAAGTTTGTGATCACCATGGGCGACATGGTCTATCAAGAGCGGCATAGAAGCACAAACGACATGCAAATCAAGTTGACAATCGGGGCAATGGTACGAGAACCCTTCCCCTTGAGATCCACATGCGTTACATTTGAAAACGCCTTCTGGGTATGCAGGAGAAGATAAAAGAGCAAGATTATGTTGTTGATCGCTCTTGTGCTTTAACGTTCGAGGAAGATTTGAACATGTTTTATGAAGGTAGAAATTGCATGAGACACAAGAATAAACCGATCCACAAACGCTCTGATTACATGCTTGACATGTGGTTTGACTTGCGATCTGAGCTTGCACTTGTTGAAGTTTCAAGGGATGTTCGTGGCTGAAATGGTTTATCATGGAGTCATTCTCGAGCTTTCCCATTTTTTATGAAAGTTTATTGCCTAATTGTATGAATAGAAACTAGATATAAACACCTCATGGCAATTCTTTCAGCGAAGTTTGCTTCATTATCAGATTTGTATTTTTATATAAAACAAATTTGTATAATTTCTTGGAAAGTTAAGATGATGTGACATGTATATATTTTCTATTGCTAGTTGTCAGAAGTTTTCATACGGTCAAATAGATAAGTTAACTATATCAATTTATGGTATCAATAATTATCGTATTTTTGTGGATTTATTAAGCAATACAGATTCGAATTCAAGATCATTTGGCCATTTTTTAACGCTCATGTAAACTAATTGAATTGAATTAATTTCCATCAAGGTATCCACATTACATAATGGAAACATATCTAAACGACGCATATTAAAACTTTAGATCATATTTTTGTGGATTTTTTAAACAATACAGATTCGAATTTAAGATCATTTGGCTATTTTTTAACGCTAATGTAAACTAATTGAATTGAATTAATTTCCATCAACGTATCCACGTTACATGGTGAAACATATGTAAACGACGCATATTAAAACTTTAGATCATCTCTTTTTCATTACATATTCAACACGTGGGGTTACTTGTGATATTATGTGTTGTCAAATTTTGAACATTCAGGCTGCTCGGTATGGTTACAACCCATCACGGTGCCACGTCAGCATCAATGTTTTTTTTTTGTAACCGTTCCTAGAGTGGGTGGTGTTGCTCCATGCATGACCACGACGTTGTGAGGCCAAGAAAGAAGAAAAAACATAGAAAAAAAGAGAGAAGAAGGGTATGCGTTGAGGGATGTTGAGGCTGCAACGCCTATTAAAATTAACATTAACACCTAAGGGAGGGGAGGAGACGGTGTTTTATGGCCCATACCCATCAGTTTCATAGGGTTTTTCATAGGATTTTCATGGCTGAATAATGGGTTTAGGTCATTTTTGGTCACTTAACTTTTGGTTTTGTGCTCATTTGGTCATTTAACTCTTTTTAAGTTTTAAAAGGTCATCAAACTTTTGGTTTTGTACTCATTTAGTCACTTAACTTTTGGTTTGGTCACATTTAGTCACATAACTTTTAAAATTGTACTAATTTAGTCACTAAACTTTTAAATTTTTTCAAAAGTTTAATGACTAAATGAGCACAATTTTAAAAGTTATGTGACTAAATTAGCACAAATCTAAAAGTTAAGTGACTAAATGTGACCAAACCAAATTAAGTGACTAAATGAGCACAAAGTCAAAAGTTTGATGACCTTCTAAAACTTAAAAAGATTTAAGTAACTAAATGAGCACAAAACCAAAAGTTAAGTGACCATAAATAACCTAAACCCCTAAATAATTTACAAGTAACTAATTAACCTCAAACATTTCCATTTCCATTTCCCAAAAGTCTGTCATGAACTCTAACATCTTAAATGTACTCTAAGACTAAGCGGAGTGGCAATCACCAAAGCCACTCGCTTTGCTCGCCATTAATGTTAAACACCACCCCCTAGCTCTAGCTAGGGGGCTTGTCAAAGCCAATTCGTCATGCATAAAGCGAGAAGAAAGAGAAACCACTAAAGGACTTTGATTGGTTGAAATGATTTTTTTGGGTTTGGATATTTGTTTCAACCTGCCGTACTCAATTCCACCAAAATTAATTTATGCATAAAATTAAATATCTCAACAATTCCATCTAAATTAATTTATGCATAAAATTAAATATGTCAACAACCTTAACAACTTATTGTGATTTAATTAAAAAAATGTTTTTAATAAAAAATATATATTCAACTACCATTCAACTAATATAAATTAAACCACGGCTCTCACCAATTTACACACATAAAATACCATATATCTTTCACAAACTCTCTCAATTTAAGAAAATATGTCTTCATCTCAAACAAAAAAAACCCCAAGAAGTGTTTGTCGTTAGTGTGTGTTTTTTTATAAAGTGAGTTTTAATAATGAAATGTGTTTTTTTATGTATTAAATCGTGTTTTAGGTCTTAAGTAGAATTAAATCGTGTTTTAAGTTATTCTAATCGTTTTTATTTAATATGAAGTGTTTGTCGTTAAAAAAAATTATGTCAAATTAATTAAATAAAAAAAATGTTTGTGTAATGTTAAAAAAATATTTTTTATTTAATATTAAATAAAAAATGTTTGTTTATTATAATAAAGTAATTAAATTAAATTAAAAAAAAATATAAAAAATATATTTATCTAGTATTAAATAAAAAATGTTTGTATTATTATAAATTCGTTAACTTAAATTAGAAAAAAAAAGGAACTAAAAAAATGAAGTGCTAGGGTGTCACCACTCCCTACCAAATGTTAGTTTAGTGTTTAAAGGGAGAAAAATAAAGTGACACTCAAAAAGCTGATGTGGCAAGGTGCTAAGGGTGTTACCATTCCCCTTAGCCTAATATCTTAAATGTAATGATTGATTCTTTAGTTGACGTTGATTACTAGGTTGATTCATATTTTTATTGAAATCAATCCTTATAATTTCTTCATTGTTTAAGATGATGTGATATATATCTTAAACAAATGTTGAAGATTCATTGGATTTTTTTGGCCGAAATTGTTTATCAAGAAACTAACCTCTAAACTTTCCTATTTAAGTTCTCAGGAACTATATCTTAAACTAGACGAATACATGTATGTTGCACAAAATAAAACAATATAATTAAAAAATTTATAAATATATGTTTTTTAAATATAACAATGATGTTGTTGTTAACTATTATATAATATTTTTTATACTAAGTTGATATAAACATTTTTTGCTTTGAATTATATTATAATGTAGACATCTTTTAAAACTATATAATCACAATTGTCTCAATGGCCTCTACTCGTGGGTTACTCATAAATAAAATTAAATATAATATATTGTTTAATAATATTTATAGTTATTGTTATGATTAATTAATTTTTAAAAAATTATTTGCTTAACATTTTAATTTCTATCTTGTAATTATTTAAAACATTATACATTGTTTTTTGTTTTTAAATGCAACAATATAAATTTTATATATAAGTTACAATTTAACAATATTGTTGTAAGTTATTTTAAGCTATTCATTTAAAAACTCTTAACTATTATAAAAATAGTTTTAGGAAAAAAAATTTAGTTAATTTGGGATTGGTGTTATGCATTTAACAGTACAATATAAAACTTTTAACCATTTCCAAAATAATCTTTGGATTTTCTTTTTAAGTTTAGTTGAAATTTCGATCTGAGTTAACATTTTAACTTTATAATTATTATAAAAATAGTTTTAGGAAAAAGTTAGTTTATTTGGGATTAAAATTTAGGTTTTGCATTTAATACAATAATTTATAACTTTTAACAATTTACAAAATAATCTTTGAATTTTCTTTTAAGTTTAATTCAAATGTCAATCTAAGTTGACCTTTTAATATTATATTTAAATTAACAATTTGAAGTATTATACAACTTATTCAAAAGTTATGACTTTAAAATGACAATGGCTCAGATACAACATATCCAAACTAATAAGCTAAGTATAATATGTTTAAAGTTAAATATATAATTTTATATATAAGTTAAGTATAATATGTTTAAAGTTAAAGACATATTTTTATAAATATAAGTAAAATATGTTATTTTAATATTGAAGTTTAGTTAATTTAGGATTATAATATAGATTTTGAATTTGTTTAACATTATTAACCAATTTATAATCATTATTCGAAAGAAATTAAAAAGTCATATTTCAAATGAATGTGATGAAAGAAAAAATGTCTCTTTTATAGTATAGAATAGATATAAATAGAGATGATTGAATTCTTTTTTATTGATATTTGCAGAACACATACGATACTTGTGGAAAAAAAGTAGCACCGATTGTAAGTTTTTATTAAAAATTTTGAATATGGGTGATCCTTGAGATTTTAAAACCTTATACCAAAGGTCCTTATCATTAACTACGTTAGTAAAGTTGCATTAAATGTTTGTAAAATGATCATTTTATTATTGTTTTTCTTATAATAGAAATCACCATTTTACCTTTCTGAAATGTTCTTGTTTTATAAAATAACTGAATTGCTGAATAATTTAAAAAAAATATATAAAACATCATACAAATCCAAATTAAACGTAAATTTTGCAAAATCAAAATTAAACATAAATCTTTTCAAATCTATGACAACATACTAAAATCCAATATAACATAATACTTTTGCATACAAATTTGATTTGAAGCATTTGAAAAAAAATTGATTTGCAATTTGGTCACACAAATTAGCCATATATGCAGTGCCTTGTGAACCCATTCTACATCATGTACGTTTTGACCATCACTCTCTCCCCATTGAACTTCAACAGTAAACATAGTGTTCTCTTTGAAATCCATAAATAATTGATCGTGAATTTTGTACATCCTTATGAAATTTTGGATTGTGAAACAAGTATTGACTGCCTATCTTTGGACTAAAAAAAGATAAGGAGTCGTTTGCTTTAGGATCGAGAATCTCGCCTTCAAAACACCATAAACATACTCAATAGCATAAGATAAGGAGTCATTTGCTCTAGGATCAAGAATCTTGCACTCAAAACACCATAAACATACTCGGTAGCATTTTTGAGTTGTGTGTGAGCATGATTGAATCTCCCTTCCTTAGTTAACATACGACGTTGTTGAAAATTTGATAACTAATACCTCGTGTTACGGTAAGGAGTCATAAATCCACAGGTGTTGGTGTATGTAGCATCACAACTCATAAAGGTGATATTTATATTTAAACATGAGTACCATAACTATTATATAAAGGAAATAGATAGATGCAAGGTTAAATACAACTTCTTTCAAAGCTCTTAAATCATGTGTTATGCCCTTCTAACCGACCTATATTAAATGTGAATATCATATCAAAATCACAGATTTCTAATACATTTTAAAAGAATTCATCTTCTCATATTCCTCTATAACGAGTCTGTTGATCAACGGACATGAATAAATATACAAGAATTCCA